ATCCGAGCAATAAACGTGGATTTTTCAAAGAATATTTTTCTAGACCCTCCGAGCAATAAACTTGGATTTTTTACAGAATATTTGTCAACAACCATCCAAGCAATAAACGTGGATTTTTTAAAGAATATTTTTCGAGGACCATCCAAGCAATAGACGTGGATTTTTTAAAGAATATTTTTCGAGGACCATCCAAGCAATAGACGTGGATTTTTTAGAGAATATTTTGCAAGGACCATCCAAGCAATAAACGTGGATTTTTTAAAGAATATTTTTCAAGGACCATCCAAGCAATAAACGTGGATTTTTTAAAGAATATTTTTCAAGGACCATCCAAGCAATAAACGTGGATTTTTTAAAGAATATTTTTCAAGGACCATCCAAGCAATAAAAGTGGATTTTTTAAAAAATATTTTTCAAGGACCAACCGAGCAATAAACGTGGATTTTTTAAAAAATATTTTTCTAGGACCAACCGAGCAATAAACGTGGATTTTTTAAAAAATATTTTTCTAGGACCAACCGAGCAATAAACGTGGATTTTTTAAAAATATTTTTCTAGGACCAACCGAGCAATAAACGTGGATTTTTTAAAAAATATTTTTCAAGGACCAACCGAGCAATAAACGTGGATTTTTTAAAGAATATTTTTCAAGGACCATACAAGCAATGGACGTGGATTTTTTAAAAATATTTTTCTAGGACCAACCGAGCAATAAACGTGGATTTTTTAAAAAATATTTTTCTAGGACCAACCGAGCAATAAACGTGGATTTTTTAAAGAATATTTTTCAAGGACCATCCAAGCAATATACGTGGATTTTTTAAAGAATATTTTTCAAGGACCATCCAAGCAATGGACGTGGATTTTTTAAAGAATATTTTTCAAGGACCATCCAAGCAATAGACGTGTATTTTTTAAAGAATATATTTCAAGGACCATACAAGCAATAGACGTGGATTTTTTAAAGAATATTTTTCAAGGACCATCCAAGCAATAGACGTGGATTTTTTAAAGAATATATTTCAAGGACCATCCAAGCAATAGACGTGGATTTTTTAAAGAATATTTTTCGAGGACCATCCAAGCAATAAACGTGGATTTTTTAAAGAATATTTTTCGAGGACCAACCGAGCAATAAACGTGGATTTTTTAAGGAATATTTGCCAAAAACCATCCAAGCAATAAACGTGGATTTTTTAAAGAATCTTTTTCAGAGACCATCCGAGCAATAAACGTGGATTTTTTAAAAAATATTTTTCAAGGACCAACCGAGCAATAAACGTGGATTTTTAAAGAATATTTTTCAAGGACCATCCAATCAATAGACGTGGATTTTTTAAAGAATATTTTTCAAGAACCATCCGAGCAATAAACGTGGATTTTTTAAAGAATATTTGCCAAAAACCATCCGAGGAAGAAACGTGGATTTTTTAAAGAATATTTGCCAAAAACCATCCGAGGAAGAAACGTGGATTTTTTAAAGAATATTTTTCAAGGACCATCCGAGCAATAGACGTGGATTTTTTAAAGAATATTTTTCAAGGACCATCCAAGCAATAGACGTGGATTTTTTAAAGAATATTTTTCAAGGACCATCCAAGCAATAGACGTGGACTTTTTAAAGAATATTTTTCAAGGACCATCCAAGCAATAGGCGTAGATTTTTTAAAGAATATTTTTCAAGGACCATCCAAGCAATAAACGTGGATTTTTTAAAGAATATTTTTCAAGGACCATCCAAGCAATAAACGTGAATTTTTTAAAGAATATTTTTCAAGGACCATCCAAGCAATAGGCGTAGATTTTTTAAAGAATATTTTTCAAGGACCATCCAAGCAATAAACGTGGATTTTTTAAAGAATATTTTTCAAGGACCATCCAAGCAATAGACGTGGATTTTTTAAAGATTATCTTTCAAGGACCATCCAAGCAATAAACACGGATTTTTTAAAGAATATTTTTCAAGGACCATCCAAGCAATAGACGTGGATTTTTTAAAGAATATTTACCAACAAACATCCAAGCAATACACGTGGATTTTTTAAAGATTATCTTTCAAGGACCATCCAAGCAATAAACACGGATTTTTAAAGAATATTTTTCAAGGACCATCCAAGCAATAGACGTGGAATTTTTTTTAAATATTTTTCAAGGACCATCCGAGCACTAAACGTGGATTTTTTAAAGAATCTTTTTCAGAGACCATCCGAGCAATAAACGTGGATTTTTTAAAGAATCTTTTTCAGAGACCATCCGAGCAATAAACGTGGATTTTTTAAAAAATATTTTTCAAGGACCATCCGAGCAATAAACGTGGATTTTTTTTAAGAACATTTTTTAAGGACCATCCAATCAATAGACGTGGATTTTTTTAAGAATATTTTCAAGGACTATCCGATCAATAAACTTGGATTTTTTAAAGAATATTTTTCAAGGACCATCCAAGCAATAGACGTGGATTTTTTAAAGAATATTTTCAAGGACCATCCGAGCAATAAACGTGGATTTTTAAAGAATCCTTTTCAAGGACCATCCAAGCAATAGACGTGGATTTTTTAAAGAATATTTGCAAAAAACCATCCGAGCAATAAACGTGGATTTTTTAAGGAATATATTTTTGGGTTCTACATCGTATGACAGAAACTTGAATATACTGGTCCACGTCTTCGTATAGCACCCATATAAGGGTACCTCCCTACATTCGGTATTTTGTATTTTGGGGACATTATCCCCCAGAATTGTTTTAATTTTCGTATTTGAAGTTCGCAATTGGTTCTATTTCTAATGACAGAAAATTGCTCATATAGCTCCACGTCTTCTTATAGCCCCCATGTAAGGGTGCCTTCCTATATTCGGTATTTTCATGATTTTAGCGACATTATTAACCGGAATTGTTTCAAATTTGGTATTTGAACTTCGTAATGGATACTACAGCCCATGACAGAAAATTGTCTGTGCAGGTCCACATCTTCGTATATCCCCCATACACCTTCCAATATTCGATATTTTGATGATTTTAGCGACATTATCCAATGAAATTGTTTCAAATTTCGTATTTTAAGTTCGTAATGGATACTACATCTTGTGACAGAGAATTTCTCATACAGGTCCACGTCTTCGTATATGAGAGATAAAATTATTCAAAATTTTGACCCGTTGTGAAGTAGGTACCAGAAGGAGTGGTCCGACATATTCCATATTCACACCAGATCTTATGTTGATAGAAATATAGAGATGTGCCGAGTTTGAAAATAATCGGATGTTCATTCCGCGTTTTACGAACTTTATGGCTATTCAAAATTTTGACTCTTTGTAGGGGAGGTACCACAAGGAATGGGCCGATACATACGATCTCGACAACGTAAATTATATTAGTCAAAATATTGAGATATGTGACATTTAAGGAGATTCTGATGTTTATTTCGCATTTTATGAGAGATATAAACATTAAAAATTGTGACCCATTGTGGGGGAGGTACCAGGAGGCGTGTTACGACATATTCCATCTTTACACCAGTTCTTGTGTTGGTAAAAATATTGAGATGTGCGACATTTTAAGGGAATCAGACTCTTATTTCACATTTTATAAGAGTTATAATTATTCCAAATTTCGACCCCTTTGTGGGAAGGTACTAGATGGAGTGGTCCGATATATTCCGTCTTTACACCAGATATTGTGTTTGTAGAAATATTGGGATGTGCGAAGTATTAAAAGAATCGGACTGTTATTTCACATTTTATAAGGGTTATTATTAATCCAAGTTTTGACCCTTTGTGGGGGAGGTACTACATGGAGTGGTCCGATATATTCCGTCTTCACACCAGATCTTGTGTCGGTAGAAATATTGGGTTGTGCGAAATTTGAAGACAGTTAGGCAATTATTTTCCATCTTATAATAGTTGTAATTATTCAAAATTTCGACCCATTGTGGGGGAGGTACATAATGGAGTGGACCGATATTGTTCATTTTCACATCTGACCTAGCAATGACGTTAATACTAGGATTTACAATGTATGAACAAAATCTGTTGATTTTTTGTTCACTTTGTATGAGGCAAAATGTTTTCTTTAAAATTTGGGTCCTTTTGTGTGGGAGGTACCAGAAGGAGTGCACCGATATTGCCCATCTCCGAATTCGATGTAAGTTTGACAATAATATTACGATGTACCAAGTTTGGACCAAATCGGATACTCCCTTCTAGAGTTATCGTGCGACCCCAAATGCCCTGAAACTGATTTGGTCCAAGGAGACCTACGGTCTAAAACCATTATTTCGCTGGACACGTTTTAACCGTATCAAATGATATATACCCCCTCTAGCCATATGGCTGAGGGTATAAAAAGAGTACTCTTCTAAACAAACATTCAAACCCTACCAAATTTATTTCCAAATTTCAAACCCACCGCTCAACCCTAATAAACCATCAAGAGAATCACTAACCATAGCAACTTCCACACAAATTATAAATTTTGGAATGCATTTCAAGATTTCTATAACACGACGACGACGCTGCAGTTCGGCACTGCACCTCGATTTCCAGTTCAGTTTTGCCAACAGCAATGCCATGGTTTGTGGCACACTTTTAATATCCGATTCGACAATAGACAATAAAATCGAAAGAAAATGAAAAGCTAACAACCAGCTAATCAAATATATATGCACATACATACATCCATTGCTATGTGCATGGATAGATATGCGAAACCCTACTTCTGACAACGCTGGCATTTAGTCAGACGTAACAAATTCACGATTTCGATATGTAATATGAGAAAGTTTTGAGAGCACGTTTTCACTATTACAATGCAGCGGAATTTTAAATCATAGCCATGGCGTAGGGCTGGTTTGGTTTGGTTGGGTGCGTTTTATTTGAAGTTGATTTTCATCAAGAATGTGATGATGACCGGAAGAAGTTTAGGTTTAAAAAATTTTCTACCATTTTTTTTACTTCTCCATACCTACAAATATTCATTGCTTCGCTTTTCCGTTTCTTTTCAGCTAAACATTTTGGAAACAACGAAATTTCTCGGTTAACAGAAATCGCAACAAAATGGCGCTTCGATTGCGTCGTGATGTACAGAAGGCCTCATACTATGTCTGGTTTCTGGGAGCAGAAGAAGCCAAAGGCTTACGTGGAAATCGAGTCATAAATTCCGTGCTGCCGTATCTGATAGATAGATCACGGTCACAGGAACCCATTAAAGTGACCCTACAAGTATCACACAAAGGAATTAAAATAATACAGGTATGTACAGGACACACAATTGACAAAAAGTGTATCAGAATAGCACATTTCTATAGAAAGGATATGAAGAGACGCAGGAGGTTAATACCTTCCCGAGCCTGATATAGATATTGCAACGTGCCAGATTTGGACCATATCGACCACTTCATTCCTCTATATGAGATAAGTGATCATTTTTGGAAATGTTGAAATGTGCATGGGCCGAAGTATTCCACTTCATCTAATACTGCAGAACATTTTATACAAATAATTTCTAATGAAAATTTTACCCTTTTCTTTTTTGAGGGAGGAACATGAAGGAATGGACCGATAAATTCCATATTCACATCAGATGTCTGGTTGAGGGAAATATTTAGATATACCAAGTATTTACATATATCGGACGCTTTGGTTATTCAAAACGTTGATTCCTTTGTAGGGGAGGTACCAGAAGGAGGGGACCCCTATATCCAATCTTCTCACTCGATCTTATTTAAATAAAAATACAGGAATGTGATGAATTTGGAAAAAATCGGTAGCTCATTTCACGTTTTATGAGAGATATAATTATTAAAAAAAATTGTCGCTTAGTGAGGGAGGTACCAGAAGGGATGGGTCGATATATCCAATATTCACACCAGATCTTTGATTGAGAAAAATATGTAGATATACCAAGTTTGAAAATAATCGCCGATTTTTTTTCGCACATTATGAGAGATATAAGTATGGCCAACCGTGAACCTTTGTGGGAGAGGTACCAGTAGGGGTAGGTCGATATCTATCATTTTCATATCAGAACATGCGTTAATAAAAATATTGGGATATATGAAATTTGAAGCGATTCTTCATTTTATGAGAGATATAAGTATTCAAAATTTTGACTCGTTGTGGGGGAGGTACGAGAAGGACTGGACCGATATATCCCATCTTGATAGCAGATCTTATGTTAGTACAAATAATGGGATGTGTGCAATATGAAGAGAACTGGATGCTTATTTCGGATTTTATGATTGTTTTCGTTTTTCAAAACTTTGACCCTTTGTGGGGGAGGTACCAGAAGGAATGGTCCGATCTTTACCATCTTTATAACAGATATTGTGTTAATGGAAATATTGCGATGTACCAAGTCTGAATGGAATTGGATGTAGATTTCAGGTTTTATGAGCTTCAATGATATTCAAAATTTTGACCCTTTGTGGGGGAGGTACCAGAAAACGTGGACCGATATATTCCATCTTCACACCAGACCTTGGCCTAATAAAACCATTGTGATATGTGTAATTTGAAAAGAACTAAAAAAAAGGGTCAAAAATTTTGACCCTTTGTGGGGGAGGAACCAAAAGGAGTGGACCAATATATCCCATCTTGATAGCAGATCTTATGTTAGTACAAATAATGGGATGTGTGAAATATGAAGAGAGCAGGACACTTACATCACATTTTATAAAAGTTATAATTATTCAAAATTTTGGCCCTTTGTGGGGAAGGTACTTTATGGAGTGGACCGATATTGTCCATTTTTGCACCTGACCTAGCACTGATGCAAATATTAGGATTTGCAAAGTTGGAGCTAAATCGGACTATCCTTTCTGTTTCTGTGCAGAAGATATATTTTTTTTTAAATTTCGACCTTTTATGGGGCAGGTACCAGAAGGAGTGGACCAAAATTACCCATCTACGAACTTGATCTAAGTTTGACAAAAATATTACAATGTACCAAGTATGGACCAAATCGGATACTCCCCTCGAGAGATATTATCTAGATCGACTCCAAATGTCCTAAAACGGATTTGGTCAAAAGAGACCTCGGGGCTTAAACCGTTATTTCGATGAGGCATGCTTTGGTCGTATCAAGTGATATATACCATTCCCTCTGTAGCCATATCCAGTTTATCCAGAGCTTTATTACATTTTTTTTAATAAATTGTTTTCTCTCTCTCTCCCCCTAGGGCTCTTCTAAACATTTTATACCACACAGTGCCATAACCAGTTCGGTTCAGACAGATGATATAGTCGCCTGCGTTTTATTGCTCTACAACCCCATAACCAAATGTCCATTACATGTGCATGCCTATCGTTGTGATTCGGAAACCACAGCAGAGGCCCTGAATCAACAACTGCAGATTTTAATAAATCGTCCCGAAAATCAAAAACGTTTTGAGGAATTGGAATCAAGGTAAGATAAGTAGATTTTTCAATAATATTCATCTCACCCGGCATTCTCTCTTTTCAACCCCTAGATTGGGCATAATACCCGGCATGCCGTCGGGCAAAAATTCCAGTCATGACGATTTGTTGAACAGCAAAAAGGAATCATCACTACATCATGCGGCACAACATGCCAGATCGCGGCATGAGGCACCACCAAAACGTCTACTCTCTTCGATGGGCAGCGATACGGGCAATAGTACCCGCGAATCGGAAGGCAGCGATGACATAAATGGCAATTCGCCCATGTCCCGATCGCCATCAGGCATAAAGCCACCGCTGCCTTTGCAACAACAGAACAACGAATTATTCGATTCCTTGGCAGCGGAATTACGTGCCAAACTCAATGGTAATGGTCCACCCTTGCTATTGCCACCCAGAGACTATGATACGGTGCATAGATCCAAGGGTAATCTGGCAGCCATAGAACTGCGCAGATGCCGTAATTCTCTTATTGTTGGCAGTGATAGACCGGCAGGATCGCCGAATATAACGGCGGGAAGTGGCAGCAATGGTGGTGGAAAACAGGTTTCATCACGTGGTTCTTCGGGCATCGGCTCTGACTTGGCTCCCAGTCCTGAGCGCCAGGACATAAACAGTTCAAGTGGTAGGCGGCAATGCGTTTTGTTTTTCTTTCCGTTCATTCTTTTATTGACCTCCTTTTTTTCTTTGCAGATGACGATCACTGGAGCAATGAGGCCGATAATTCAGTCATTGCCCTGAAACCATCACAGATTGCAATGGAACGTTCGGCTCCCATCAGTCAACATCATGTGAATTTGTCACGAAAAAATGCCGTCCATCCCCGGGACGATGGTTATCTAAGAGATTTGCCTGCCAAGCCATACACACCACGCACTGCTGCAGCCACTAAACCGGAAAAGGTGCCCATTGTCGAAAGAGAGGTGAATCGATCAAAAACTCCAGCTTCTAATTCATGGTGCCGGGAGGATGAAATTAAACCCATAATTGTAAGGCCCACAAATTATGATTCGAAAATCAATCGAGTTTTGCAAAGTGAACAACAATTCGCTCTGGAGGATAAAGGTCGCTCGAAGCTGCATGAAGAACGCAAGAGTGCCTATTTGAATCATGTGGAATCGGCTGAGCAACGTTTCAAAAGCAAATCGAGTAAAAATCTAGATGAATACGCCGATGATGCAGATGGTCCCTTACCAGTGGCCCATTCAAGCTATCATCGTAAGGAGAATTTGACCGACAAACAGAAATACATTGAATATTCCAGCAAACCCAAGCCACTGCCCACAAAATCCTATGCCCACGAGGAGGTCCAAAGGTATGGTGGCAAACATCGTTATGTTGATCCTGCTGATTTGCCGTTTGAACAGAACACAAAAGTTTCCGGAAAATATGGCAACTATCATCGAGAATCTAATTCGCCAGAACATTCGGAATTAAGTCATCGTACTGCCGAACGTCCCGGTGCAAGATCCCATGACCGCCGTGATGGGGAAAGGCTGAGACATCGTTCACACGAACGCGAACCCGAACCAGAACATCATTCACGTGGCGAAAGGGAACAGTTGTCTCGCAGCAAAGAACGTAATCCCTATCGTGAACCGGAAAGTATTCCCTACATTGAGAGTATGGAGAAGCTGATGAAATCCACTGCCATGCGCTACAAATCATATGACAACAGTGCCGATATTAATGTACCCAGGTCCAAGGAACCGCTACAGAACAAATTAAGTCAACGCAGCAAGACCCATTCACATCACGATGAGGAACACGATTTTGCCTATAACAATGGCTATAGCCATGGTCATAGATCTGGCGCTGCAGTACGTGGTGAATATGAAAGCTCTTCGAACAAGGATCGATTCAAAGATGCCAAGGATAAGTTCCGTTCCATGGAAAGATCAACAAGGTCATCGGGTTATGAGCTGGCCGATGAAAAAGAACCACAAGAATATAAATCGCGACAACGAGGTCCTTCCCATACACCCGAACATGCAACACAACGACCCTACGATGACTGGAGTGATGACGAACATTTATATGATAGTCCACCACCAGAATTTAGGTCACGCTCTCGTTCCCGTGATCAGTGGTTAGATCATGGTAGATCGAAACCATCACAACAGGTATTACCACCGCTCGAGGTGGGTAGTCGTGGTGGGCGAAACCGAGATCCATCGTCAAAGCGAACGGAATCACGTAATCGTTTAGACAGTGGCGAATATCGGGATGATGTACCGTCACAACGTTATCGTGAGGAACGCATACGCGATCATTCGCGTGAATATCCCAGCAGGCGTGATTATACACCCGAAAGAAGTCACCACCAGCATCATCATCATCAACAACAACAGCGCATAGAATCGTCCCATTATCCAGTGCCGGCCAATGGCAAAGTTTCACCACCCGGCAGCGGTTTGGGTATGCCGACATCATCATCGGCGCAGCATGGCGGCAAGGGTATATCGAGTATGGCCAAAGGCTATCGTCACAGCTATGCCGAACCGGTATTCTCACGATCAGCAGGTCGTGTGGGCCTGGCCGCGGTTAATCCATATTGAAATAGATTAATGCAAAAACGAGCGTGTAATAGTTAGAGAGTAGAACTTTCGTATATTTTTGTTTTTAATGATGCGTTTTATTTTCTTTTCTTTTTTAGTGTAAAACACAAACAATCGATCACATTTTATGTTTTGTAAATGATTTTCTTTTTTTTAAGTTTTATTTCACTATTTTCTCTAGATATTCTTGTTTTAAATATTTTCTAATTCTTGTGTAGCCTTTTAAATGGTTTATTTATAATTTCAAGTTCAAGGTTAAAACTGATCTTTGAATTTTCATATTTCGCAGATTTAAAAAAAGAGCAAAATTTATTTCAATTCACCGAGGTCACTATGTAATTCAATCTTTTTTTGGAGTAAATAATAAATCAATGTTGAGTAATCATCATCAAATTATTTATGAATCGCTGGCTTTTTTTGGCGATTTAAAGTCACTTTCAACGAAGGATTAATATCTTTTTTCTTTTCCGTTTCTAGGCTTCTTTTTTCGTTACTGTATAAATATATATAATATATTTTTTTTTTATTTAAAAACTTTATATTTGTCGTTTTGTGGTTGGTTATTACATACGGAATGTGTATTCATATGAAGTGTACTTATAAAACGTATTTTTAGTATTAAACAAAAATTAAAATCATTTTTTTTTATTTGAAGAAATAAACAAATAAATACATACATATATATTATATTCTACAAACAACAAACAAGTGTTTTAATATATCGCTTTGATCAAATGGTAGGTAATTTCCATCCGATACAGTCGACCAACTAATATGAACTGTTTTGAGAGAGTAGTTCTTTTTTATTCGAAGAGGAAAAAATGAAGTGTAAATTATTGTTTCAGAATAAACAAATTGAAATCGTATAACTAATGAAGCATACACCATTGCCAAGGGGAATTCGAAAAACATATCTATATGTATGAAGGTGGATGGGCAGACAAATTTTTGGGTTCAAAGGCCATATAAGAAATTCCTAGCAGTCTGATATTCAAATTATAAAAACATTCAAAAAATAATTTTCCAACTAGAAATCAGTCAAATGTAGAACAGAATGTCTTAAAAATGGAGTTCACAATGCCATACCAAATACATCCAATTCAATAATTGTTATTATATCCTCAACCATATGGCTACAGAGGGTATATATCATTTGATACGGCCAAAACGTGCCTCATTGAAATAGCTGGGACCCTAGGTCTCTTTAGACCCAATCCGTTTCAGGACATTTGGAGTCGATCTAGCGATGTCCGTGCGATTTGTTCCAAACTTGGAACATGGTAATATTATTGTCAAACTTAGATCGAGTTCGGAGATGGGCAATATCGGTCCACTCCTTTTGGTACCTACCGAACCTACTACGGTCGAAACTTTCAAAAAAGATATTTTACTGCACAGAAGGAGAAAAGATAATCCGATCTTGTTCCAACTCTGCAAATCCTAATATTTGTATTAGTGCTAGGTCAGGTGCGAAAATGGACAATATCGGACAACTCCATCAAGTACCGCCCCACAACATTTTGAATAATTATAACTCTTATAATATGTGATGTAATAGTCCGATTGTTTTGAAATTACATACACCACAATATTTTTATTAACCCAAGGTCGGGTGTGAAGATGGAATATATCGGTCCACTCCTTCTGGTACCTCGCACACAAAGGGTCAACATTCTGAATACTAATGAAGCTCATAAAAGACGAAATTAACTCCATTCGGACTTGGCACATATCAATATTTCTATCAACGCAAGATATTTTATAAATATGGTAGAGATCGGACCATTCCTTCAGGTACCTTCCCCACAAAGGGTCAAAAGTTTGAATAACCAAAACGATCATAAAATCCGAAATAAGCATCCGGCTCTCTTCAAATTTCACACATCCCATTATTTCTATTAACACAAGATTTGCTGTGAAGATGGGATATATCGGCGCACTGCTTCTGGTACCTCCCACACAGAGGGAATTTTGAATATAGATGAAGCTCATAAAACGCGAAATTGACATCAGATTCCATTCAGACTTGGCACATCTCAATATTTCCATCAACACAAAATCTGTTATAAAGATGGTAGAGATCGGATCATTTATTCCGGCACCGCGCTTACATAGGGTTTAAGATTTTGAAAAACAAAACGCTCAAAGAAAGCGAAATTTCACAAACATAATCATTTTTGCCAAGAAAAAATCTGTTGTGAAGTTAATATATATCTGCAAATTTCTTCTGGTAGCTTAATACCTTTATCTATCATAACTTGCGGTACTAGTCAGCGATTCTTTACAACTTGTTTTATCTAAATATTCCGAACAACCAGAAACATGAGATGAATTTGGAATTTATGATTTCGAATAAAATTAGATATAAATATTTGATTTTCTTGTAATTTTGCACTTACCAATATTTTTATATGTATTAGATAAAGTATGAAAATGTAATACATCGGTCGCATATAACTTGTACTTCACGCACATTTTAACTTTTTCTAAAAATTATCACATCAAAATATATTTATATTCGTTGAACATTGGCTAAGGGCTTGTTAATATGTAATATGCACTACTTTTCCTCTCTTTAGCGAAAGAGATTTCGAAAAAGATTTGCTTTTATATATATTTGTATAGAATATCAAGCTCAAAAACAAAGAATGTGTTAGAAATTCACTTCATTTTACATTACATCAGCACAAGTTTTTGTACTTTCCCCGATTATTATTCCCCAATTGAAATAAAGCGCCCGACGCTTCAACTCAATTGTGTGCAGAAACGATAACACATCATGACGATAACAGTTGATGCATGCCGGCACTTTGCCTCGGTTATCGTTAGTTGTTGCATCTCCAAAGGCACTGATTGTAAACATACGTTTATTGCTGAATCTAGTTTCAATAAAAATAATAAAAATGTCTGGAAACGGTAGGTTTTTTAATACAACTATACGATTTCCAAACAATAAATGTCTCTACAATCAACAGCAACTGAAGAACCGGTAGAAAAGAAGCCCAAATTAGAGGAATCGAATAAGGAAAATACAGGCAATGAAGACGATGGTAAGTAAACTGAGGTGTTGTTTGGAGCGAAGGGTCTAGAAAATGAAACTTTCCTTATTTTATTCCACAGAAGAATTGGAAACTCCATCAGCTTTTAATCCCAAATATCGTGTTTGTCCCTATCTGGACACCATAAATAGACCGCTGCTGGATTTTGATTTCGAAAAATTATGCTCCATATCACTGACCCGCATTAATGTTTATGCCTGCCTGGTGTGTGGCAAATATTTCCAGGGACGTGGTACCAATACCCATGCCTATACACATTCAGTAGCGGAGGCCCATCATGTGTTCCTGAATTTACAGACACTGCGTTTCTATTGCCTGCCAGATAATTATGAAATTATTGACTCATCGCTGGATGATATCAAGTTTGTTTTAAATCCCACTTTCTCACCGGCCGATATTAAGAATTTGGACAAAGCTGATCCCAAGTATTCACGTACCGTTGATGGTACTTTGTATCTACCCGGTGTTGTGGGTTTGAATAACATTAAGGCCAATGACTATTGCAATGTTGTTTTGCATGCCCTCTCGCATGTGGGCCCGTTGCGGGATTATTTCCTTAGGGAACAACATTATGCCAAAATTAAAAGGCCTCCAGGTGATTCGATATTCAATTTGGTACAACGTTTCGGTGAGCTAATGCGTAAAATGTGGAATCCTCGTAATTTTAAGGCTCACGTGTCGCCCCATGAAATGTTACAAGCCGTGGTGCTGTGGTCCAACAAGCGATTTCAAATTACCGAACAAGGTGATCCAATTGATTTCCTATCATGGTTTCTGCATACCCTGCATCGGGCCTTAAAGGGCACCAAGAAAGTTGACTCTTCGGTAATTTATAAAACATTTTTGGGTGAAATGAAAATCTATACCCGTAAAATCCCACCCGTCGATTTGGATGATACCCAAAAGTCATTGCTTTTGGCCACCGAGGAGTATCAGGAAAAATGTGAAATAACAAATTTCTTGTATTTGACATGTGATCTACCGCCACCACCACTGTTTACCGATGAATTTCGGGAGAATATTATACCCCAAGTGAATCTGTATCAATTGCTGTCGAAATTTAATGGCACCACAGAAAAGGAATATAAGACATATAAGGATAATTTTCTAAAACGCTTCGAAGTTGCGCGCCTACCGCAATTCATCATTTTGTACATAAAACGTTTTACGAAAAATACCTTCTTTTTGGAAAAGAATCCGACCATTGTGAATTTCCCCATCAGGTAAGTTATTTTGTAAGATATTAAATATGACTTGTATCAGTTTTGTATTCTTTTTAGAAATGTGGATTTTGGAGATATTCTCTCTATTCAAAATCGTGAAAAAATTGGCAATTGTAAATATAATCTAGTGGCCAACATCGTCCATGACGGCGAGCCAAATAAGGGCACATATCGAGTGCATATGCTGCACAAAGCCAATGGTCAGTGGTATGAAATGCAAGACTTGCATGTAACGGAAATCCTGCCCCAAATGATAACATTAACAGAGTCTTATATCCAGATTTATGAAAGATGTACTGAATAAAAAATTGCCCTTTCAAAAAATCTTCCTGTGTAGTTTGTTGTTAGGACTCTTTATCATTCCACAAGTCACAACGGATCAAGATTCAAAAATACGTTTCTTAATTTCGATTTTGTTCCACCTGGAAATGGTGTAATTTCTCTTAAAGTAAAGCTCATGCGCCAGTTCGAGCATTAGGCAAACATATTAAAGCACACACACGAACATACATGCACACATTCCATACTGGCTTGCTCTAGTTAATTTTCCCTAAATGGAAAACTAAACGAACGCAAAAATATCCTATCTTTTAATTCGCATCAACTTCCAAAACAGTAAAGGTTTAAACGCTTAATCCACAATGGCCGAAGGAACCTACGAATTCGAATGTATGAGGGCTGAATTGTTGGGAATTGAAAAACCTAATCAAGAAGAATTTGAAAAGGCACGAGCAGAACGTTTGCAAAAGGAACAAGAAGAACAATTGGCCGCAGAGGCTCAGGTAAGAAGCATAGGAAGACAAAGAAAATATATTAAAACCGAATCGATGTTAATTCCTTTCACAGGCCCTGGAGGAACAGGATGAAACCATGCAAAGTGCAAACAGCAAACTTGATGAGTTGAACAGCATTCTATCATCAACACAACAGAAAATCTTCCGTTTCAAACAAAGTGCTGCTGGCAGTCTTTCCAACATCTTTGGCCGTTCCGGATCTGTGGACATTGAGGCTTCGTCATCGAACACCTCATCGGCTGGCACCAGTAGACGCAACACCACGGCAAATGCCACAAATTTGAATGAAGCCGCCAAAGTTTTGGACGAAATGAAACATAAAGAAGGCGAACCGGTTATTCCAACAGAAAAGATACGACAGGCCAAATTGGATATTAACAAAAAGATGACTTCACACTTGGATCGTTTGGATGATATGATTAATAAGGCAGATAGTGCTGAAATTGCCATGGCCGAGCAGACCAAGCAAATGCGTAAATTAGCCAAGTAAATGCGATGCGACAAAGCCTTGGGACGACCCATTAAGTCATGGTCAAATTACCTTCATACTTCACACACTTGGCACAAAATCAAAATTTAAATCATTCAAGAAACGTTAATGTTTTCGCCTTCGTTGTCATTGTATGTTCACCGATATTTCGTCACCACTTTTTAGAGCACCATCTACTACAACAACATCCAAGGAAAGTGTGGGGGAAAAGAAGAATGGCAAGCTATTTATGCTGCACAAGGTTCCCCCTGCAATAGCAATGAGTATTTTTAAAGCTTACCATTTTTCCTACCAACGACATAAAAGGCCTTCTATGTGCTTCATACTGACCACCAACATCGAATCGAATACCGCCGCCTGCCTATATTTATTCCAATGGCATGGGACCGACCGACCATCAGAGTAATTTAGCTATTCGCATGTTAAGTGTTTTATGGAAAACAAAAAGGAGTAAGGCGCCAATTTTAGCCCATTCCTCAAAACGTTGTGAAGTGTCGCATACATCGAATATGTACTACAAATATTACGCGTTCCATTATCATGTCAATCCATAAAGTGTGTAACAATGTTTCCTGTAACCATTAGCACCCTACCAACAACACCACCACCACCATGAACTCTCTTCAATTATACGACAATGTTCAATTAATAATGTTCCAGTAAAGACAACAACAACAGCAACACCACTACCACCTTTCATCAACACCACCAATAAAAACAAACCTAAGAACAAAAAAATACTATATAGTATGAAAATAAAACTCATAATAAATCTCATACAACATTAGCCATGTATGTGCGTTATGGATTCTATTATTTGTGTGTATCCCCACAAGGGGAATGCCAACAAAAAGTAGGTAGGGTGGGGTCATATAAAACAGGCCCCGTAATAGAATATGTGCCAATGTGACACACTCTATATGTACGTACGTTTGTGTGTCATGTAAATATTAGGCGACTTAAGAGCGCCTTTGGGATGAGATGCATTTGAGGGTAGTAATACAATATATACAGGGTGTGATAAAAAAACTGCAACAAAGTCAAACGCAATAATTTTTACATTTCTTTTTAAATTTTATTGAATGAATGCAAAAAATGTCGGAAAAAGCATCGCATTTTGGCACGAATTATGGCCTTCAAACGGCCAATGAAACAGTCACACACTGCATGAATGTTTCTCCGCGGTATTTACACTTTAGCCTTTTTTAGTGCCAAACTTGCTTTCCAAATACTGCAGATACAATAGTCCAACGGATTGGTATCCGGAGATTTTGGTGGCCATTGTGCGCTGGAAATGAAGCGAGGAACCTCATTTTGTAACCATTCCTGGGTGGCGCGTGCTGAGTCCTGTTGGAATGTCCAAGGTCTGCGACCAAAATGTTTGCGTGCCCAAGGCTTTAATACACTCTCTAGAATATTTTCGCGATAATATTCGGCATTTATTCTGATGCCACGGTCGATTAATACGTGCGGAGAGCGACCATCGGCTGTTATGGCGGCCCACACCATCACCATGACCGGAGCTTGAGTTCTGGTGGTCAACCGAAGGTGCACATTTTCAGCTGACCTCTTTGGCAAGTAAACACCATCATTTTGTTTGTTTACAAACTTCTGGACAACGAATGTTTTCTCATCGGAGAAAACCAAATTCGGCAGTGCAGTTCACCACTTTCGGCCAAGCAAAGCAACTCTTTGGCTCTTTTGAGTCTACTTTCTTTCGGTTGCGGTGTAATTTCTTGCACTTTTTGGAATTTCAATGGGTAATCAAATAGGCTCGGGGTAATCATTTTTCAATATTTGCCGAATGGAATATTGCGATATGTTCAGCTCAAGAGACATTTTTCGGCCACTGCGACGCGGGTTTCGATCAAGTCGCTTTTTTACTTTTCGAACCATTTCTGCTGATGTTGCTGTTTTATTTCGTCCACAAGCGATGGTACGAGACACAGAAGATTTATTCACATTTAAATGCTGGAGAACTCTAACGATAGCCACTTGTGGTTTTCCAGCCAAATATAAAGAAATCACACTATCACGCTTGAATTCCATCACGAATAACTTTTTTCTGGAAATTTCTCACCGAAATGCTTTTGTACGCTTGTAAACAATATAGGGTCTTAAGTCTCTCCACAAGAATGATATTTGGTACCGGGCATCAGATTCTGCTGGAAAATACGTATGCCAAATTTTATCGAGATCGGTTCAGATTTGGATATAGCTCCCATATATATCTTTATACGTTGTTAGGTTTTTTGTGCCCCAAATTGCTAATATCAGCCAAAATGGACTCAATTTTGGCACTTCCGACGGAATTCATATTTGATACGGGACATCAATAATGGGACTCTCTAACTCATTTTTTGCTTTACCGACAAAAATCGGTAACTTTAGACCCCAAAATTTTGATATAAAAAATAAGTTAAAGTTGAAAACTTTGGTATCTATCGGTATGTCTTACCGACTATGAGCTACCGTACCGTGATGTAATCAATAGAGCAAAAAATGTGGAAATGCTTCAGGTTAGTGAGATTGCTTTCGGTTAATTTCAATACTTTTGCTTGAAAACAATTTGCTTGTTCCGCCCATGAATTTACCACAACATACCGTTTTCATTTCCCCCCTAGACACAATTTTCTTAGGATCAATTTTCTCTCATCAATTTTTGCCTTGGTAGACGTGGTTTATTAGAATCTGTTATCCCCACTTATCTTAGTGATGTGAAATTCCCATGATGTATATTTCACTTGTACGAGAGGGGTCAACTTTCCAGGAAACCTATTTCTATATATGAAAAAAGTAGTCATTTAATATAATACAAAAAAATACCAAATACATTCTATTGAAAAATATAGCTCAGGGTAAATGAATCTTTATTATTTCTATAGATTTCAGGTAACAATAAAGAATTACAATTCAATTCATCTACGAGGTCGTGGAACAGGAACGGTGAAATTTTCAATTTTAGGATATTAATATCTTGTTGCCAATATGATAACATTGGTGGTTCATTTGCATCCATAGCTTCCACTTGGCCACCATTCGACTTGGCATCAGGTTCAATTAATCGATACAATAACTTAAATGCCTGACTTACTCTAAGCTTAACATTCAATAGATGTATTATTGCAGCAACATCTTTGGAGGTCGCATTTTGCAATTCTTCGTCGTTCTTAAGTACCGGTAAATTCTTTTCTAATATTTGTACTAAAAGATATTGCGGTTTGCGATTAGCCAGACTCGTCTCCAAGACGACTTTCGTAAAATGCATATTCCTCAGTAACGGCTCGGGGGAAGGTAGAGATGTTTCATTAATAATTTTTAACATTAAAAGCCTAAGAAGATTGCGTTGTGAGTCAGCGTCAAAGAGGTCACAAGTTTTCGCATCTTTATCACGTTTCATAACAACCGAATCGGTCCATAACTTAACAGCTTTACCTTCAAACATCGTTTCACCCAAATATTTGCTACAGCGTTTGCAATATATGTGGCCTTCTCTTTCCTTGCTGCCATTTCGAATATTCTCCATATTTAATATAACAAATTGGAAGCCATAAAACAAATCCGTATTGCGAGGTAGTAGTACATCACCAAAGCTGGGACCATGATGGCAGAAAAACTCACTGATATCTATAGAGCCCGAGGGGAATTCTCTTACTTTATTATACGACTGGCTGTCACATAACGTCGATCCGCATTGTCCGCAGTGCAAGGAAACATTTTGACCTTCCTCAAGTTGAAATGTTCCAGTGGATTGTAGACTTTCTTTCATACTGTCCATCTGACACAAATCCTTGACATTTTGCACACTTATGCGAAAGGAAATATTCTCCTGATCCACAATCAAATTGCTAAAGGTCTCAGTCAAAATGCTAAAATACTCGCCAACTTTCACTTCTACCACCGTGGAATCGGAGGAATCTTTCACACGTATTAGGCCATCTTCCACATTTATTCGCACAGAATCAAAATCTGTAATGGATTGTTGGAAGTTCAGAAATACGTTGGCACAGCACAAATGTTGTCGAACTTCGATTACAACAAAACGCAACATTTTTAATGACAGATGCCAAAAGCAACAGAGTGCCGCTAGGAGAGTGAATGCCGTTTGAAGTTGTCGCCGACAGCAATTTTAAAGCAAACGGCGTCATTTGAAAATGCTGGTCGTCGTGGATGTGTTGTTTTGAATTGACCGTTACGCTGTTATGGAATAGAGAAAGTTTGGGAAATAAAATTGTAGAATTAATTCTAATCTTAACCAGCTCTGTATTATTACAGATTGTAATTAATATAATTACAAAACATTAGATAGGGTATCAGAAGAAATTTCTAGACCAGTCTTGATGAGTTTATGCAGGGAGATCCGCGAAAGCACGATGAGCACACTAGAAGTGGTTCTCTGGATTAAAACTAAAGTAAATCGTTAAATTTGTGCAATATCAGGGTGTTACAACATAATTTTTATTGCGGCAGCCAAAAATTAGCATAACACTTCTTTCTGATCTCTGATTTAAACAAAGTGGACTATGAGTGTCACCTCTTTTCCTTATCTTCGAAAAACTTAATATATTCCACTGAATTCGTGTGAAGGCCATAACCGGCCTTGTCTCAGGATATGTGGCTATCATAACGGAATCTTAAAACGCTGAATACTTTTTATTTGTAGCCTTTAATTTTCGGTGTGGAACTTGTTCGAAGTCTTGTATTTCTAACGGATTTGCTTCTAGACGTTAAAGTGCTCAATAATCTGCCCAAGTCACATCCATTGTGTACTTTTTTATACCCTCCACCATAGAATGGAGGGTATATTAAGTTTGTCCTTCCATTTGTAACACCCCGGAATATACATTTTAGATCCCACAAACTCTATATATTCTTGATCAGCATACAATTCTAACAATGACCGTCCGTCCGTCTGTGGAAATCACTCTACCTTCCGAACGAATTAAAGTAGGTGGATAAGATTTTACTCAAATGTGTGATTGGTCTGCAGGACTTTTGGTATTGAAAATGTGCCATGAAGGTCCATGTTTTGGTATAGCCCCCATATAATGGTACCTCCCTATTTTCGGTATTTTGGTGATTTAAGCGATATTATTCACCGGAAATGTTTAAAATTTGGTATTTGAAGTTCGTAATGGATAGCACAGCCTAAGACAGAAAATTGTCTGTGGAGGTATAGCCCCCATATAACGGTATCTCCCGATATTCGGTATTTTGATGATGTTAGCGACATTGTTCACCGGAATTGTTTCAAATTTGGTGTTTGACAGAAAATTGTATACCCTCCATTTGATGATTTTGCTACATTATTTACGGATTTTTTGTTCAAGATTTCCATTTGAATATTGTAATGGCTTATGACAAAAGTTGCCTATGCAGTTCCACGTCGTCGTATAGACCCTAATATAACGCCTACATTCGGTATTTTTACGACTTTAACAACATTTGTAACGGATTTTATTTTTTTGAAAATTGTCAAATCTGTTCCAAATGATGGGGGGGTAATAAAAGTTCGGCCAGACAGGAACTTGCAGCCTTTTTACTTGTTTCTATACATCTTTTAAGGATTAACTCTGTTCCCGAATCTGCAATCTAGCAGTTTTGCAATTTTTTTTCGATCTCATAAAGCGAGACTCGCTTATCCTAGTAAAAACTTTTACATTTTTTAAGTTCTGGAACATACGAATAATGTCCAGGTAGTCTCCACATAATGGTATATTAACAATTATACCTCCAAAACCTGACTAAGGTTGAGGGTACATAAGCTGCTTGGTATCATGGCCAGGCATAATGATGTCAATGTGCTGTTCTGGCATCCTTTATGATATCTCACAAAATATGCCATGCGAAGGCTTCCTCTGCATCGAAATAATGAATTTTGAACTTTCTTGTGAGTTTGGTTATACTAGGTAATGTCACACAAATCATATTGTGCGTTAGTAGTTTTTTAATCAGATCAGTTTAAAATTTTTGATTTTATCTAATTTTAAATAAAAGGTCATCAAACTATGGTATATCCCTATATTAGGTTCTAAAAAGTTATAATCCTTATGTGCACATATATTTTTAGATGTCTCAAATTGATATTTCGCAAAAATCATTTACATGTTCCATTGAATGTGCAAAACAACCCGGTGACGAAAGGGTTAATCAAAACCAGCGCCGTCACATACCACAATCAATCGCCTTGGCACACAACGCCGGCATTTGACTATTTGCAACAGTCATCGCTGTCGAAAATTTTAGTATGGCTCGGTTCTGTTGCTATCAAAACGCCAAAACGCATCAAACAAGCGAACGTTTGCAAAATCATTAAACATTTAAAGCTTTTTTCGTTATAAATTATTGAAATAAAAAATGTGTAAGTAAATCAATTATAAAACATAATGTATTTAGATAACAGTATATTTTTAACAATGGTTGAAATAAAACGTAACACCGTCCACTCCCATTTAAAAAAAATGTCCTCCAGCTGTGTCGACCCATAAAAGAAATGAAAGTGAATTTTTTAAAGCTTTTTTTGTTGGTATTTTTTTTGTTTTTTTTTTGCAAATTTGCCAAGTAATTGGCAAAGATGTATGGATGAATGGATTGTTGTTATTGTGGTTGTGGCTCAGTGACTAGATGAGTTGATGGAAATAGCAAATAGTATATTTCTCCACCATTTTCTATATCCATCCGTCCATCCAACAACTGGCTTCCCTCTCCCTGCCTGCCTGCCTGTCCGCATTACGTATGTACGTTCGTGTTGTGCCAACAGTAGTGTAATAGATTTCCCGTTCCTTGACTTAAAGAAGAAGACGAGGGTGTTTATGTTGTTTTTAACCGCAACTGTGTCAACAACAACAAGCAAGCAGCAGCAAAGCATAAACCAGCTAGCTAGCTCTGTGTTATGCTGTTGACGTTGAAAGCGAAATCTCATAAGAAAAAATAAGTAATCGAAGCTGGTCATTGTCGTCACAGAAGAGCAGAGAATCTATTTTCATTTATCCAACAAAACAGCCATTCATTGTCTAACAAATAGCCTCTGCCCAAAAACAAAATGCAAATATGCAGCAGCACCTACTCGCTCGCTACCCAACAACATCTGTTCTGTATATTCATCATATCTATTTGATATGCCGAGTATATGCATGGAGAGGAGGTAGCTTCTTTGTTTGCATTTAAATTAAAGTTGTTTTTTGCAATTAACCCAAAGCACAAACAAAAGAATGCAACGGCAGCCCGCCCGCCACTGTCAGTTCCGATGATGATGATTATGGTGTTGGTGGTATTGTTTGTACCCAAAAGGCAATTGCTATTTGTTTTGTTGATGCATGGAGTGTTGCTTGGATTGGTTTGGTTGCTTAGTTGATAGGTTCAGTTATCTGGTTAATTGTGTTAATAGGTTTATGCACAACAGCTTTGTTTTTTTTTGCAATTTATTATATTTTTTGCTGTTGCTTGAGGTTTTGTCGCGTCACCATGCGAGCAATTGTTTATAAGATAGTGAAATTGAGTGGAAATTTTTTGAATATTGAATTTGTTTGGTTGACACTATTTCCCCGTATTTTCAAAACAAAGAGCTTATCTAATAGGAGTGTGTGTTGGTTTATGTTGGGGTTATTTTCTAATTGGATGATGTCCAGTTGGGACATAACGCAAAGAATTATTTATTTGCTTTATTATTATATTTTTTTATCTGTTAAGGAAGTACAATTAACTTTGAATATAATAAATGAAATATTTGCATATTTTGTTTTTTTTTTTTTTTCTGTCGAATAAAAAATAATGTACTATGGAAAAAATGGAGTGCCACTTTTTCTTTAGTTCCTCCAAAAACTTACTTTCCCGAAATTTAATTTTGGCAGAAGTAATCTAGTATGCAGTTGCGTTTGAAGTACGGGAATGTCCCGGAATTCATTGCTGATTATATATATACCCTCAGCATATAACCTATTACGAAATGATATGAAATTTTTATGATTTTTAATAATACTCTCAGCCACGGCCGAAACGTGCCTCATTGAAATAATGGTTTAGACCCTAGGTCTCTTTGGACCAAATCCGTTTCAGGAAATTTGGAGTCGATCTTGCGACGTCCGTCCGTCTGAAAGGTGCGCACGACAACTCTCGAAGGGAGTATCCGATTTTATCCAAACTTGGTACATCGCAATATTATTGTCAAACTTAAATCGAGTTCGGAGGTAAGCAAATATCGGTTCGACATCGGAGTGAACAACACGTAAATATATTTCGTATACTTGTGGTGTCATTTTGCTGTGTATTCGTTGTTGCAGTTACCGCCAACAACCATTTTCAAGGCTCTAAATTACGGCGTAATTTAGAACCCAAATTACAGATCCTTCATCATTGTGGGAATCTGTACACTCCTCCTGGTACCTTCACCACAAACTGTCAACATTTTCCAAGAAATAATTTACTGCACAGAGAGAAAAGGATAATCGATTTTGTTCCAACCTTAGATTCGAAGAATGGACAATATAAATTTTATTCAATGAAAGCAAAAATGTCCGAAATAGCATCAAATTTCGGAATAAGTTTAGATTTGTTCGAATTGTTCACCTTTGGCACGAATTATGACCTTCATACGACCATTGAAACCATCACACGCTGCCCGAATATTACTCTGCGGTATTTTGGCCCATTCCCGGCGAAGCGCTTGGTTATCTACACTTTGGTATTTTTTAATGCAAACCTTGATTTCCAAAATACTCCAGACACAATTGTCCAACGGATTGGTATCCGGAGATTTTGGTGCTGGAGTCTACTGTGAAAGTTTAAGTACCCAAAAATCCTTCAGGCTAAACAGCGATTGTAGCGTTTTTCAGGCAGAAATATTTGCTGTCAGAATGGCCATAGAGCTGCTGGAAAACAGAATCAATGAACGGGATGGACCGGTGACTATATATGTCGATAGTCAAGCGGCCCTAAAAGCTCTAAATTCTTTTATAATCAAATCTATGGCTGTTCTGGAGTGCAAGAATGCCCTGGAAAAGGTTAAGTCGGTTTTCAAGCTCTGTTGGGTTCCTGGACACTGCAACATATCTGGCAATGAATCTGCCGATGAATTGGCCAGACCGGATCTGAGTCAGTAGATCTAGAGATTGAGAGCTCAGTGAAGCCACCTTTATGCCACTTCCTTCAAGTACTGCATAATCACTATCTTGGGAGATTTCAACAAAACTGGCTATCTAAAAGGGGATGTAATATCTCCAAAAGATTTGGCCGGTGAACTCTGAAAGGAGATCACGGTCACTCACATCCATGACGAAGTTGGACTTGAAGCTTGTGATGGGTCTAATCACAGGTCATCATAAAGGCCATGACTTCAAAATGGAGGGTGACGACACTGAATACTGCAGGCTTTGCCAGGATGAGGAAGAAACAGAAACGGTGGAACACTTACTCTGTCACTGTCCTACCCTTATCGGAGTAAGACATAGGCTTCTGGGTAAGCAAATTCTGCCCGACTTGTCATGCCTCTCCGAAACCGAGCCATAAGTTATTATTCAGTTAGCCAGAAGACTAAAATGGCTAAGGACGACACGCTGACTACACCGTGGATGCAAACCCACTAACTCTTCTATTCCCTATCTATATTCTATTCTAACCCCCTAACTTATTTCACTTTTTCTAAATTAGGATGATCACAATGGGCCGCTAGGTCTCCCAGTGGAGTGGTTGTTTTACACAGCCACAACTCCTTCAACCTAACCTAAATGCTGGTGTGCTCTAACGATAGTCACTTGTGGTTTCCAGCCAAATATAAAGAAAACACACTATCAAACTTAAATTCCATCACGAATAACTTTTACTGGAAAATTCTCACCAAAAAAAGGGCAAAAATTAAATTGGGCACAGCATTCAGGTTTTTATTTCGGGGAACTTATCAGACCAGTGTCGGAAATGACTTCAATATTTCCAAATTGTTTTGCTGTTGTCATAGGGACGATTCTTAAAAAATCCACGACCATAAATCACATGTTCCTTGAACAAATTTTCTTTATGACTCTCATAATCCTTTAAAAGATTTGGAAAAAATCCCGTGTGTTTGAATCAAATAAGAATTCTATATTCATTTCATTTAAAATTTCAAAGCATTTTTTTTTACTTTAATACGAACCCCTAATGTTATATAAGTTTAAAATCTTTGCATTGCAATCAAAATGATTAATTTTCTCTAATTCTCACACCTTTTCTGTGTGTGATTTGTGCTAGAACACGACTGATTTTACTCGAAACACAGTATACGTTCTTGTTTGTATAATTTTATCGCACAAAATCTCCCTCTTTTTATGATGACACTTTGTATACAAAGGCAGGTAGGTACATGTCAGTGCAAAAACGTTTGCACTTGCATTTGCCAGATTGTCAATATTAGCATTTTTCTTATCGGTTTTCGTTTATAAGATGTGGCGGATTTTAGAGGCATTCACACAGTTGTATGTTTTTTAAAACCACTCTTCTAAAGAGTTGATGGATTCGGACTCGACTATATAGAAATATTTTGATTTTTGAGTAGAAATTTTTCAAAATATTCTCAAAATAATATTCTCATCTGAGAACCTACTTTATGATATCATTCAAGTATATTTATCGCTTGCGAAAGTTCCTCTATTGGCATAGATCAATTTTATATTCATTGCAAGTCATTAATCACCGATTGTTTATGTGTTTTTTTTTTATTAACCTACAGTTTATAGTCCAGAACAAAAAATATTTGCATTTGTTACAGTTAACGTATTCTTTAAGATCTTGCTGGCATTGTTTATTGTTTACAGTTGAACAAAAAAGCATTATTTTTGTCACACTTTCAGTAATGACATCAGTCTAGACTAGTAAACCATTCACTCAGCTAGGAACATCATCATCTTCATTGGTGTAAAATATCAAAATTTATTTACATTTCTCTCTTCAAAAACCCAAATATTTCAGTAACAAATAACTGTAGGCGTTCCCTACTTATGACCCGTAGTCTCTTGACAAATGTTTTTGTCAAAGAATCACTGACCTCCTCCTCCTCTTCATTTGCAATGAACTCAAAAGGCTCAAATTTTCTTTTAGCCTCTACCTCGGCCATAACACAGGATAAATTGGACAAATGGCGTCAAAATTTCTACGATGAACCCAAAAACTTGTTGGCGCAAAATGTCTGTTCACGTTTCGATCCGTTCGAGGTGTGTCTGTCGCGTAAATGTTTGGAAACCACCAATCATGTGTTCACCCACAAAGTAAGTTTTGTTGTGTTGAGTTTCTTTTTTTACATAATCTAATGCGATTTTTTGTTGTTGTTACAGGTGGAATTGGAAGGCAAGCCTGTCACCAATCAAAGAAGTTCCGGCAGATGCTGGCTATTTGCCGCCCTCAATTGCCTGCGTTTGCCCATGATGAAAGAATACAATCTGGATGAATTTGAATTCTCTCAGGCTTATCTCTTCTACTGGGATAAAATTGAACGTTGCAATTATTTCCTAAATAATATTGTAAAAACTTCAAAACGTGGCGAAAAGGTTGATGGACGTCTGGTGTCATTTTTATTGAATGTAGGTTAAAACATCGGAACTCCTTTTTTGGACTTTAATGATTGTTTTTTTTTTTTTTTCTAGGATCCAACCTCTGATGGCGGTCAATGGGATATGTTAGTTAATTTGATAACCAAACATGGAGTTATGCCAAAGAAATGTTTCCCCGAAAGTTACAGTTGCGAATCCAGTATGCGTATGAACGGTGTTCTGAAGAGCAAAGTAAGATCAACTACATAATTGTGGAAGAATTATAGGGTTATGGTTATGGAGATTTGAACAATTTCTAGTAAGGGTCATTATCCCATAGGGAGTAAAACTGAGGCCACATTCTCGCATTCGTTATCGAACAAATTTCAATCAACATGCATTTTAGATTGATACAAATTAATTGAATTATCGAAATTTTTTATTTGAACAAGTTTAATTTAGTTATTCAAAATCATTTTGTTAAAAAATTTGTTCGATATCGATGTAAGATTTTAACCCCTGGAAAGGTGATTGGAAATAATACAGGTAAAATATGGGAGGCATATCCAATTCTGAATCGATTTTCACTAAATTTGACGGAGACATTTTAATCTTTTATACCAGATAATATTGCTATACGGGGTGAGATAAAAAAAACTGCAACAAAATCAAACGCCATATTTATACCCTACACCACAAGGTGGTCAGGGTATTATGTCTTTGTGCATTTGTTTGTAACAGGCAGAAGGACACGAGATAGACCCATAGTTCCTTTTGATGATCTGCATAGAATCATGTCCATGTCCATGTATTTTTGTAAACAAAATACAGGTCGCATTTATTGCCCGATCCAGATGAAATTTTGCAAAGATCTTTTGTTTGGCCCAAGGACGAACCCTATTGAAATTGGAGATAGTCGGTCAAAATTTAGATATAGCTCCCATGTATAACTTCGTCCGATTTGCCTTTTATTGTGCACCAAACGTGTAATATCAGCCCGAATTGTATGGAATTTTGCATATACACCCAAATTAGGCCTGAAAATATGTATGCCAAATTTGATCGAAATCAGTTCAGATATAGCTATAGCTCCCATATATATTGTTCATCCGATTTGTTATTTTTGTCCACCGCCGCCGTAATATGCACTATGCAACAACAATATTTAGGAAAATATATCAAATACAGCTCAGAAATACATTTTCTAAATTTTATCGAGATCGGTTCAGATTTGGATATAGCTCCCATATATAACTTCGTCCGATTTACCTTTTATTGTGCCCCAAACGTCTAATATTTGTCCAAATGTGATGGAATTTGGCGCTTACGACCGAATTAAGTCTAGAAGCTAGTATGTCAAATTTGGTTAAGATCGGTTCAGATATAGCTATAGCTTCGATATATATTATTTATCCGATTTGTTATATTTGTTACCCACAACCGTAATATGTACTCCGTAACAACGATATTCAGGGAAATATATCAAATACAGCTCAGAAATATCTTTGCTAAATTTTATCGAGATCGGTTCAGATTTGGATATAGCTCTCATATATCCGATTTATCTCATATATCCGATTTCAAATTAATTGTGCACCAAATGGGCAATACAATTCCGAATTTAAAAGATACAAATGCTTCGGCATATTTAGTCCGCCCGACTTTAAGATTTTCTTTACTGGTTTTACATTTTATTTGTTTGAATTGTTCACTTTTGGCACGAATTATGGCCTTCAAACGGCCAATGAAACCGTCACACGCTGCCCAAATGTTGCTCTGCAGTATTTTGGCCCATTCCCGGCGAAGCGCTTGCTCGAGGTGATCGACACTTTGGTCTTTTTTAATGCCAACATTTCAACAGAATCTTCTTTAACCTCTTCTTATTCCAAGATAGTATTATGGACCTCATCTATATCTAATTTCGCTTTGCCTTTGACTAAGATTATTTTATTATAAATATCATAAAAAATATTGTCCTGAGATTTTCAAACCATAAAATGTCACCCATCCCTGATTGACTACTGTACTATTTAGTTGTATTTTTAAATCCTATTAATATATATTTCATTTCCGTTTTTGTGCAGCTACGTGAATATTCCAAAGTGCTGCGTGACCTGATGGACACTAACCCCTCCGATGAGGAAGTTAATGCCAAAATCGATGAAATGATGGGTGAAATCTATAAGGTCGTTGGCATTTGTTTGGGTATACCATCCAAAGAATTTACCTGGGAGTATTATGATAAAACCAAAAATTATCATTCGGTGGGACCAATTACACCACTGGAATTCTATGAAACCAAGGTTAAACCATTATTCAATGTTGAGGATAAGGTAAGAATATAAAAACATAATTGTCCAAAAGAACACATCTTCATTCATGTCCATTTTACCAAAAAAACGAATCTTTCAGGTATGTCTAGTTACCGATCCTCGTCCATCTAGCAAATACAATCAGGCCTATACCGTGGATTGTTTGGGCAATGTTGTTGATGGCCGCCCTGTTTTGTACAATAATCAACCCGTTGAAGTCTTACTGCAAATGGTTGCAGCTAGCTTAAAGGCCGGTGAGCCAGTATGGTTTGGTTGCGAGGTGAGCAAACGTTTTGCCGGCAAGCAAGGCATTGAAGATTTGAATGTGTAAGTAAATTAAAAAAAAAAAAAAATATTCAAATGATGAAGATAATAATTTATTTGCTTGCATTACAGCCATGATTTCAAATTGGTATTCGATATTGATATTCAGAAAACTCTGACCAAAGCTGATCGCCTGATCTATGGTGAATCTGCCATGACTCATGCCATGGTATTTACCGCTGTCTCTTTAGATGTAAGTGTGGTACTTTGCACAAAATCGCACACACAAAATATCTTTTAATATTTCCCCCTTTTCAGGATAATGGTGAAGTGAAGAAATTACGCGTTGAAAACTCTTGGGGCGAGGATCGAGGTGAAAAGGGCTATCTGGTAATGTCAGCCGAATGGTTTAAAGAATTCGGTTTCGAAGTGGTCGTCGATAAGAAATATGTGCCTGCCGATATACTGAGTGTGTTCGATCAGGATCCTATAGTTTTACCCGCCTGGGATCCAATGGGTACATTGGCCCAATAAAATGTTACCTTTTTATATATAAATATAAATTCAATAATATATTTAAATATTTCAATTAATGTCTAAAGATGGAACATACCTTTATCCACAAAATCAACATCAACAACACCAACAAAACAATCCCAAACATGCTTTTTACTATAAATCAAGGTTTTCTCACTATATACTTATATAAAAACAAATGTTGGCCTTTTTGCAAGGCAATCAATCACCAACCACCCCCTCATATCCAATTTGTCTATGCATCACTATAAGCAAAAAACAAATATATATATAAATATGTATATGCAGTTCACCCATCTCTACTATATATAATCTTATACATTTTTATAAAAATACATAAATAGCTACTTAATGTCATGTGATTTTCTTTTTATCGTTTGGAACGACTTCTTACTCAACGGAGTTTTTGGAAACGTCAAAGAGTTTATATAATTTAAGATCCGGCCAATAGCAGAGTTTAAATTTAAATGAAAACTGTTTTCTTCTTATTTTAGAATTTTAAAAGATTCAATCTTTGCTGTGACAAAAAGGATGGGTATCGCTGGAATTCGAGAGTAGGTTCCCTGGTTGATCTTGGGTTCATAGTAACAGAAAATATCCTTTCAATAAATTGTGGAGACAGACAGACAATCAAAAACGCATAATGAAATTACAGCGCTGAAAATAAAGTAATCGCTAAGACCTACCGACTAAAACAATTTTGTTAGCCTTTATTTCTTTTTCACTTACCTATTTTGCCGTTTTGTGTAAGCTTCTTGCATTCGGGTACCCAAAAAATGTTTTGTATTCCCATTCTAGATTGATAATAAGTAACACCAAAACGGGGACCTCCACAGACAATTTTCTGTCATAAGCCGTAGAATCCACTGCGAACTTCAAATACCAAATTTTAAACAATTCCGCTGAATAATGTCGCTAAAATCGTCAAAATACTGAATATGGGGAGATACCATTATATGGGGGCTTTACCAAAACGTGGACCTGCACAGACAATTTTCTTAGGCTGTAGTATCGATTACGAACTTCAAATCCCAAATTTAAAGTAATTCCGATGCATAATGTCGCTAAAATCATCAGAATACCGAATATAGGGGGTAACCGTTATATGGGGGCTTTACCAAAACGTGGACCTACATGGCCCATTTTCAATACCAAAAGTCCTGCAGTCAGTGTAAGTAAAATGTTATCAACCTACTTCATTTCATTCGGAAGCTAGAGTGATTTGCACAGATGGACGGACATCGCTAAATCGACATAGAATTTTATGCTGATCGAGAATATATGACAAACTTAAGTACCCTCCATACCATAGCAGAAGAATACAGGTAGATGCATCAATGCTTGAGAGCATTGATATGTCAAAAAATTTTAAATTTTTTTTCAAATATAAGTCGATTTTTAAATGTTTTCTTATACTCCGTCATTTGGAGGCTATTATTATTCGCGTTTTTCAACAATTTTTACAAATTTAAATAATTTTTCATTCAACATTTTCAATTCCAAAATTGGTTTGACAGTTCATTGTTCCAGCAGCTGCGTCGACGCGTCTACGTATATTCTTCTACCATGCATATTAAGCCGGTGCTACCAGAAATTTCAGGTCAATTCTGGCTATATTGAAATAAATTCCTATAGATATTTTTTCGATATCGAATGAAAGAATTTTGTCTCTGATGTTAAAAGCATAACTGAATAAAAACTCAACCCCAGATGGCGGTAAATATGTGGCAATTAAGGTGTTTAATTTTTGATCAGATTTAAAAAAAAAAACTTAAATTCCTCCCGTAAGAGGTCTATTTACAAGAATATAGGTTACTTTATTATTTATCATGCCGTTGTTTCGGGAGGAAATAATACATAAACAATTAACAAAGTACTCAATGATTTTTTACAGCCCCTGAGTTTTAAGCCGCTAGCCCTTAACACTAACTGTTGGTGCATTATAGAATGTTGGGGAATACATTTTTGCACGTCTTGTTGTTTTTCTAGTCCAAAATAAATACATCCTGCATGTTTCACCATTACGGCACTGCTTTTCCTCGCTTCTGCAATCGCAGACCATATTCATATTGTAATCTCAGCCATATGCCTTTACACATTTTCACCAAGCGGCTGTCGGTTTCCTCATTGACTCGAGCAAAGGCATACTGTGAACGTATAATATATTTGGCAGTTCGCAAACGTCCAGTTTGTATTAGCGATATGCTGTAATAAAGTAAGCAGCGGGATTGCAGGAATGGATCACCTAGTTGGATGCCAATGAGTAGCTGTTTTCTGGATATTTTACCGGCTACTTGAGCCTAAATTACAATAGTTTTAGTTTAGTTAAAAACAACAGTGATTCTAATTGGAATTTGTACTTACACATTCGGAAAATTGTTCACCCAACGCCGAATAGCCACCACCCAATGTGGATAGCCATGACATTAGATAATCTGTTTCAATTTTCTCCCATAATTTGCGGGCCAACATGCGATTCCTGGAAATATAAAACTCTTAATGTTCCAATCTAATACAATTGTCTTTCACAAACTTACCATCTATAATCGATGATGTCTTTGGCAGGTGGTATAATTTGTAGCCAAAATAGCTGAGTATCTTTTAAAGCTGGATGGGTACATAGTATTTGCCTATATTCCTTGAAATTAAGCAGCTCTTTGAGCAAATAATAGAATGCTATGCCATCTATGCAGATCAAAGTTCGCCTCAATGTCCTGCATTGTCGTTGCCCTGAGGCATTTGTGGTGTTCTCCCGAATGACACTCTTATTTATGACATTTATTCCATATGATAATTTGTTGTTGTTGCTGTCTTCGGCATTTAATTGATAATAATCTCTTTTTCGCCAATAATCACTTACACATAGAATTAATTGCATTATTTATACATATACCAGGTATGGTACCATTTGTTATCAACGTCTTCCAAATCCTATATTTATCCAAATAACAAAAATTACCATTGGATTAACCTAAATACGATAGTTCTTTAAGATATATTAAAAAAGAGATGACTTGGAAATGTTGCTTTAAGATTAGAAATGTAGGTTCCTTGTAATTTGGTTCCGGGAGGGACCTGAAGGAATGGTCCGATCTCGACTATCTTACATATGACGCCACTTTATCCTTGGTTGTCCAAGAATTACTTACTTACTTACCAGTTTTTTATGTTTTTTAAATAATAATCCTGCCCAACAAATGTGTACAATCCAATTCTTATCCAATTCCTTGATTGTTTGTTCGTTGCGAGCGTTGGAAACAAAAATGAAAAACGTCCCAACGAAACGAATATGAAGGCCACAAAGGAATTCCCGATAAAAAATAAACAGAAAGCAAAGACTCGGGGTACACTGTTGTTTACGAATGAGACGTGAGGAAAATGAACATCTTTACTAAAAAGCGCGGAACTAGTTGCTACTATCGTTTTCCATTGCCAGTGTTATTAAATAAATTTCACACTAGGGGTGGCAATCTATCGATGTGAATGTCGATAGTATCGATACTTTATTTTAAAAGGGAATATCGATTCAAAGTTTTTTCTATCGATACTGTCGAAAGAAATGACTGCACAGTGGTAGAAATAGGAGGTAGCAGCGAAAATTACAATTACGTCAGTTTTTGTAAACAAGGTGAATTTGTTTTAATATGTAAAAATTTGCTGCAAAATGTATAAAATGTAATTTGCACAAAAATTATAAATCGATAAAATTTAGCCAAAGGAATGCTCTCACCGCTTATCATCGAAAAAATTCGGAACAGCAGATGTCGTCTATATCGTTTTAGGGGTGTGAGTGAAAATATTGAAGTTACTCCATTTAAAAATGTTAAAAATATCATGAACTGGAGGATATTTGTCAGTTGAAAATTGTTCCACAATAAATAAATAAAAAATACAGAAATTAAATTCTTGAAAAACGATGAAATTTGTTTTTGATATCGAGTAGGTCGACTGCGTCAATCAGTATGTTGGCATTGCAAAAGCGCAATGAGTGCCACCTGCATAAAAAGACAAAACAAACTTTCCGTTGTCTAAATATTCACTTGTCTTTGCCGATATATTCCATTTTAATACTGGATATAATTGCTCTATGAGTACCGATTTCAATATATGATATCGAGAAAATTGCAAAATTAGTAGATTCTTGCTGGTTCTGGAACAGAACATGTGTGAGACAAGTAACAAGCAGCTAAATTCGGCCGGGCCCAACTTTTAATACCCACCACCATTTGGAAGGAACTTGAAGTGAAACTTAAATGAAACCGCTTTAGTACTGATTCCGCACTCTAAATTCGAAATTTGAGACGATTCCGGTAATTAATGTCGCTAAAATCATCAAAAACCGAATATTGGGTGGTATCGTTAATTGGGGGCTATACGAAGACATGGACCTGCATAGGCAATTTTATGTCATAGATTGTAGTATCCATTACGAAATCATCAAAATGCCGATAAAATCATGTGAGCTATACAAAGACGTGCACCTGCATAAGTAATTTGTTGACGTAGCCTGCAGTACCGATTCCGAACTTCAAATACGAAATTTGAAACAATTCCGGTGAATGATGTCAAATGGGGGCTATTCGAAGATATGGACCTGTATACTGCATATGTTTAAAAAAAAAAAAACGGTATATAATGTCGCTAGAATTATCAAAATGTTGAATATTGGGAGGTATTGTTAAATTGGGGCTTACTGTGGACCGTCAGGGCCCATTTACGAACCTGCCGATTAGCAAAATACACATGTGTGTAAAATCATAGCCTTCTATCTCAATTCGTTAAAAGATTGATTGCAAATGGCAGACAAACCATATAACTAAATCGACTCAGAATTTTACGCTTATAAAGAATATATACACTTTGTAGGGTCTAACATGAGTATTTTAAGGAGTTACAAACAGAATCATTCATAGCAAGGTAGATCTAACAGGTAACCGCATCGGCGAATTGCTACAACAAAGCAACTTTTGTGGTCCCCTCAAATGTCAAAATTGGCATCTAAGGCGAAAAACTTAGATTCGCCATGTCATTTAAAGGTTGCGGCAAATTTGTTTCAACCAATCAGAAACGAGGTGTTTGTTTACATTTTATTTTGTGTGCCTCTTGTCGTAAACGAACGTCAAAGTTTTTATTGTAAAACAAATAAGAGTAAAATAAGTATTAATTGTAGTATTGCGATATTTTTTAAATCAAGAAACTTATAATGACTATATTTTACTGGTTTAAACCGAAAGTTTTCCGGAACTGCAAATGACAAGAGTCGAATTCTTGCACTACTTCCCGTGATGTGCTTTGGGAATCTTAGATGTTGAGGCTAACTTAATTCTTAAAGCTGCACTCCATTCTAACCTCCTT